AAATGCTAAAAATGTAAGAATCAGAATTAAACTTCTCATTGATGCAGTCTAAATACCTTTGTAACATAGTTACCGGACAGGCTGAAGTTTGACCTCTAGAAATAAGAACTTCTTTGCCACCTCTGTATATATCAGTTTTACTTTTCTTAATTGATAAAGAGAAATATTCACTCTTAATACTTATATCATTACGGCGTAAATTGCTGACCTCATCAAAACGAGAAAAAAACCTGCATAGCTTAACAAAATCATAGTTAAATCCCGGAGCACAATAACATCTGATGAATCTGAAAACATGTTACACAGTTCCTTTAAGTGATCAGAACTTATAATGTCCTTCTTTGTCCTGGGTCTAGAGTTGGTACGCTTTGCACACTCTAACATAGATTTTACTATAACGTTCTCTGTCGGATCTGCGAAGTCATTTATATTATGATACCATTTAATGCCGTACAACAGATTACTTATCAAAATATGCATTTTTTTAGATTGCTCAACATCCAATTGAGAAATGAACGACACCTTAGCCTGTGGCAACCAAATGTGTTTTTTAGAATTTGAGAAAAATATGTTTCAATACAAAAATGACAATTACAAAAATGTACAAAGATTATTTCATTGAGAAAGATTTTGCAAATTTTCATCGTATAACAGAATTATGCGCTGAATTTAGAGTTCTACTGAAGGTGGATTGAATTTCAACACAATGTTCCGTTTTATCATTTATTGTTTCTTTTTCAGTGGAATACCACACACATTAATTATTTATCAAATATACACAGGTTATCCTGACGTTAACAAATACAATGTAAATATTAAAAAGCAGTAACAAATATTTCTAGTGGAGAGCCACAACGTTATTAATTGGAAATCCAAAATCTAACTGTTCGATTTCTCTATCTTTACAATATTTCTAAAAATGGTTTCGTTTTAAACTGACCAATAAAAATTTAACATTTTTGTGACTTAAATAACAAAATGACCAATCAGGTTTCAATACAAAATAAGGTAACATAGCAACATAGAATTTATAACAACAATCATCACCTGGACATTTTATCAGTCATAAGGTTTAAAAACTTATTAAGTACAGACAGCATAATTGACTTTATCACCTTTATATAATAAAACTTTTAGCACAGTTGATTGGACAAAGAGGAAAAGCCATATTTAATCTTCCGGTTACATAATTATTAATTTGACTTCTGTTATTAAAACATATAATATTTGCAACTTAACATATTCGAAATTTCACACATTGTTCTGAAAATTTGACCTTTTAGAAAATGATTATATTTAAAAATATTTGTGTTTAAAACAAAGTCATCATGCATATTTATTCATTTTTTTAAAAAGAATTTTATCATTTTTCGGCCGCACAACACTTCTCCCTCCTTTAAGACTATTTCACTCCTGTGAAATGGAGCATAAATATGTATATAACAAAAATTATATCATTAAATTAGAATACTGTTAACGTAAGATATTCAGTAACAGAAATATATTGTGAACATAAAGCACCGATTTTGCTGAAAAGCGTAAGTACCATCCACTAAATATATATATCCTAATCACTGTCTTATTGTAAACAATACACCCTTAATGACGTCTATTTCTGTTGTATTGCCCTCTATGTCCTTGCTGTCTTCCGCGGTGACAATCGCCTCCCCTATGTTGGAACCCGGCTTCGCATGTGTTATAACGATCGTGTTGTTGGTTTTCATTTTCAGTTACTCTTCTGCGACATAAATATTTCGTTTTGTCTGTCAGCTGAGCGATCTCATTTCTCAAGCTTTCATTTTTATTTTTAAGTTCATCTATTTGGTCGTTTTTCATTGATTCTGTCACCATTGCTTCGTAAGTGTTCCGGTTGTATTCAAGTCTCAGTTCTTCATAATCGTCATGTATTTTCTTAAATTCTATTATGAGTTTGTCCATTTTTTCTAGTTTTGACGAGTCAGCCCTAAACTTTTCTTCTAGCGAGTTTCTTTGTAGTATCAATGTTTCTTGAAGATGACATATTTCTGATTTCTTGAGGGAAATCTCATTCTGCAGGTTTTCGGTAAAGTCCTTGAGTCTTTGATTTTTCAAATTGAGAGCCACATTTTCTGATTTTAAACCGTTAATTGTCTTATTCATTGAATGAGTTAAAGATTTCAACTTTTGAAATTCTGCTATTGAAACATGACTTACAGAGTTGTTTGTTTGGTTGTTCTGAAAGAAAGCATCGTTTTCATTGTAGAATGGTAATGTGCATTCTGCTGTTTTGCGTCTAATAAAAGTTGTCATTCGTTCTTGATCCCGTTGTTTAGATAGACTTGACTTGACTGCTTGATGTCGGCAAACTCGTGCAAAATGTCCAATTCTCTTGCATTTGTTACATCTTGCCATTTTCGCACAACACTTCTCCTGTCGGTGATAATGATTATGTCCACATTGTCCACATGATTTTTCACTTCTAAATGGTATTCCATTTATGAAACTCATTGTTGTTTTTCTTGGGGAAGTTGAATTCGTAGTCTCGCTTGCTAAATTGAGAGGTTGGGAAAGACACTGATTCCCACCAAGAATTATGCGCTGAATTTAGAGTTCTACTGAAGGTGGATTGAATTTCAACACAATGTTCCGTTTTATCATTTATTGTTTCTTTTTCAGTGGAATACCACACACATTAATTATTTATCAAATATACACAGGTTATCCTGACGTTAACAAATACAATGTAAATATTAAAAAGCAGTAACAAATATTTCTAGTGGAGAGCCACAACGTTATTAATTGGAAATCCAAAATCTAACTGTTCGATTTCTCTATCTTTACAATATTTCTAAAAATGGTTTCGTTTTAAACTGACCAATAAAAATTTAACATTTTTGTGACTTAAATAACAAAATGACCAATCAGGTTTCAATACAAAATAAGGTAACATAGCAACATAGAATTTATAACAACAATCATCACCTGGACATTTTATCAGTCATAAGGTTTAAAAACTTATTAAGTACAGACAGCATAATTGACTTTATCACCTTATATAATAAAACTTTTTAGCACAGTTGATTGGACAAAGAGGAAAAGCCATATTTAATCTTCCGGTTACATAATTATTAATTTGACTTCTGTTATTAAAACATATAATATTTGCAACTTAACATATTCGAAATTTCACACATTGTTCTGAAAATTTGACCTTTTAGAAAATGATTATATTTAAAAATATTTGTGTTTAAAACAAAGTCATCATGCATATTTATTCATTTTTTTAAAAAGAATTTTATCATTTTTCGGCCGCACAACAATATTCTTATATTCTAATTAAATAATACAAAATCAACGAGATTCATCAATATTGCAATCAATGCCAGTGGATCAGTAATAAGAAAATTATAAAAGAGTAAATTTTTCATTATGAAACTGAAAGAATAAGTTTTTCATTGACATTGAACATGTCCTTGAATACAATGAAACTATCTAGGGTATTAGGACAGCAGTGGCCTCGTGGTTAAGGTGTCTGTCGTCAACCAAGGGATCATGGGTCACGATCATGTTTCTTCATATGACACAAGTACAAATCAATCTCAAAAGTGATAAATATAAGTTTAGCAATAGAGCTTAAATAGATATGTTTAAACCAGGATTTTACTTTCGAGATGTAATCCACATGGAGAAGCTCTTTTCATGAAACATATTCCTAGATAATGCCTGGTTTACATGACCATTAAGTCATAGTCGGCCCATTTACAGACTGATTCAGCCTGGACGATAAAATAAATTGTTGTTAATGCACAGGCTGTTCCCCAGCCTGTAAGGACAAGTGGTCCACAAGTACAAGAACTTACTATTCATCATACCACGGATTTATATTACAATGTAATATAAATCCGTGATCATACAGACAAGTTAAAGTGTGTTAAAACAAAATTCTGATTTTGCTGGCCCCTGTACATGATAATCATATAATTACACCCTGGGCTGGAATATTTGTCTGGCAGTTTCTCACACAATTAGCCATACTTGAATCACATATCAAAACATTTAATTCATTTGTCATTTGATTGTTAAATTATTGTCTTGAGCAGACATCTTTAACATGCCAGTCAAGAGGAAAACAGTGACAAAAAGGTCCGCTATGCACTAAATGTTTACATTTCACTATCCAATTTGTTTGTCTGTCTTCTCCGCCATAGCTGACATTATAATTAATCATTTTAATAATGCTGTCAGCTTTAAATTTTTTTAACTCTTAACAGAATTTATGATCATTAACAGAATTTATGATCATGAATACTTTACATTATTAAATATAATTGTAATTGTAGAGGCCAATAGTTTAATTTTGTACCGGCATAGAATATATAGATAGACTATTAAAATTTAGGAGTGCAAAATATAATGTGAATATGAAATTAATATTTTCATTTTTTAAATTTAACAAGACTATTTGTAAATATCAAACAAAACAGAATAACTAATCTAAAATGAAGAAGTATATAACTTATAGCATAAATGAAAAGATATAAATTTGGGGGGAAATTATCCATTTTCAAAAGATCATAGCATCAAAACTACTCAGTTGAAAATTATAAATAATACCACAAACCATTCACAATAATGTAGTGACTAACTTTTCAGCTTTCATTTATATTTTCAAGTTCTTAGATACCTCTGATGCTTCGGCTAAAATAGGTCGTGAATTTATTTTTGCACCACAAAAATTTACCAATTTCCTTCAAATTCCACGCCACAAAAACAACAGAACAGATGACGAGGGAGTCTTAACAGTACCTTCACGACATACTTTAATATATTTTAAACCGATTTATGCAAGTTTAATAAGTTTTCTACGAGTGGGTTAAGCCTGATGACTCTGCAGATTGTATACGTGTTCACCCGTTTCTAACAAATTTCCGCCATTTTGTTAATGTAATATAAAAATCCGTGACTCAATAAAGCTAATAGCGATCATATCATGCTTTTATTGTACATTTCCTTTTTGTAAGGGGCACTTTATATCGATGGTACTCATCCATTCGAAAAGTACGAAGATGCAGTGCCCCCTGGCGGCACTGTAACGTACATGTGGGAGATTGGTAAGGAGCATCGCCAAAAAAAAGATGAGACAACTGTGCTGCTACACGTAACATTCCACACACGGGGCCCCAAAAAATTTGCACGGTTAGTAGGTGTTTCTGGTTGTGCAAAAAGGTAAAATGATACCCCAACAATTTACCCTAAAGGATGCTTTTACTGAAAGCAGGGGATTCTAATATATTATTTAAAATATGTCGCAAAGCGTAAGCAAGGTTTTACAATCAAACAAATGAAATTTTGTCATTTGTGGTGAAAATGTACAGCATTCAATATACAATGTAAAGGTAGACAAAGTATATATTCTTTATATCTGGACGAAATGATATACCATTTAGGTGTCTATATAATGGTTTACTATACGCAATTATAAATAATAAGTATAGCTTTAGTTTTAAATATGTCAATCAACACGGTTAAAATACATATCTGCCGATAAATAGTTAAAAACTTAAAAGAAAATGCCAATTTGCAATAAAATTTTAAAAAAAAATTTTGTGCAACCCAAAGGAAAAAGTTGAGATATTTTGGGAAAAAGAAAAATTAATTTAGCCGGGGGAAAGTTTAGACATTGCCCAAAACTTCCCTGGGAAAAATTTTTTAAAAAGTTTATATCATAAAATACTCTCCCGTTATTTCCCAAATTTGGTCAATTGACTAGGACAATAATCTATTTTTTTTTTATCTTTGTAACCTTTAGGACCTGGTTAAATAGAGTGATAGTGTTTGATTTATTTTTTGTTTCATACCGGTAGTTATTTGCATGAAAAGTCTGGGACATAATTTAACATAACCAATACGCTTGAAGATCGACGCCAACAGTAGGACGCTTATCCATTCCATAGTTTCCAGTCCCGTTTTATTATGTCCCAGTCATAATACAACTGAACACCATGCACTATGATGATATTTAGATGTTATGTTAGAAAAGCCTTTCTATACAACAAGTTAATCTATTATTTCCAGGAACGCTTGATTCGAAAGGCCGACGAAAAGATGCCGACCAAGAATTATACTTATATGCCGACGTGACGGATGAGAATAATAGTTGGTATGCCGATATAAACTTGAATAAATGTGGTAATCCAAACGTTTGCAGAAACCTAAAGGTATAGTACACATATGAATGTAAATAAAGGTTTTCTCAGTGTGAGAATTATTATACATGTACAATGTACATATATAAAATAATAAAAAATAGTGGGTATCCGTGTAATAAAACACTTTATTTTATAAATGAAATATTGAGATATATTGACGAAATATAATGCGTCTTTTCATTTTAAGATTATATATTGTCACTGTAAACATTTATTTTTCACTGCAGTGAAACATATTTTCCGTATTTAAACTGGTGTGTTGCCGGACTACTTTCTCCTAAATTCAGCCAATACACAAAATATAAGGGGAAGTTTAAATTGTAATGTAAAAACAGAGAGAAATGTATAATTATAACTGGAAGTTTTTTGTTTGTTTTTTTAATACAGAATTTTTTTTCCATCTTGTGGTTACAAAATTATCATATTTCACGAGTGAATAAATATTTATTTTCATACCTTTCATACCACTCGACGAAAATAAATCATCATGTACTTTTAGAAAAAAACTTGAATACCCTCTTTATATTAACATAGTGATTTGGGAATTTATAGAGTTATAATCATTACAAAATGGGAAAAATTAAATATTTTATTAAGATATTCCGGCTCCTTTGTTTTTAATGTGCATTTGTCATAAAAACCATATATATCTTTAAGAGACTCCACTGACTTTTGTTTTAACTGACGAGGGACGGAAAATATTTTTTTCAAGATAACTTTATGCATGCAGATCTAAACCTAGCCCGGGTTCCAGTATGTTGATTGTTTATGTACTTCTGTTCGGTTAATCGACATATCAAAACACGGTCGAGTATGAAATAGTAATTTGTTATGAATAAGCAAAAAATATCAACGCCTGAATTCCAGGCTAATCTAGACCAATAACTCATGTGCAAATGTCCAATCAATCTACATGTAAATTGCTGAAATTGACCCTCAAAAATCAAACAAATCAGCCCCCCCCCCCCAAAAAAAACGCATTAAAAATCGATTATCAAAAGGTATACAAAGTACATTTTCATATCATCTATTGCATAGTTTTCCAATTTAAGAGCATAAGTTAGTTTATTAATGAAAAATTTTCAAATTTTATGATTATAGGCTACTAGACCTCAGTTGGGTTGAAATATTTCCACTTTTGGGTAATTTTTATGCTTAAGTGTAGAATGTGCAGTTTTTCAGTAATAAAGCCTTCATTTTCCCTCTTTTTTATGTCTTTGTTGCTCCGGTAATTTCAGAGACAGAAGAACCGGAAGTTCATATCAAGTAACAGTATTCCCCATATCAACGGGTATTTGTTCGGAAACCTTCCAGACTTTACTGTTTGTGAAGGCGAGAAAGTAATCTGGTATTTTATGTCCATAAATCGTGGGATAATACAATACAACTATTTGGCCCGACCCTGATCATTGAAAAGAAAAGGTAAAAAATCAAATTTTCATTTATTTACAGTTAACAAATGTGTGTCTTTTTAAATTTTTTTAATGCTTTTTTCCCAACTATTTCTTTCTCAAAAAAGAATTATACATTGTAGAATATGAAACAGTTATCAGCAACATTTAAATCATATAAGCAAAAGTATTGGACCACGAGTTATATCAAAATTAGAAGGTTGGTCTTTCCATGCAGGTTTCACAGTAAAATGTAACAATGTAATAAAATGAGCATTGTTTCCATTGTTTGTAAGTCACAGTAATGTTTAATGATGGTTCAAAACTAAATTATTACAAAAATAAATCGGATAATGATCAGATGAAATACGATTTTTTACATTACAAATACGTTAAACAAGTGCATTCCATAGCGACAACATGGCCGAATGGTTGCCGGACTATAATCTTATGATCGCTAGCCACATTGGTTCAAACCCCGTCAAGGACAAGTCGTTGTTTCCTTGAGCAAGAAACTTTGCACTTATTGCTCAGGTTCCATTTACGGATTCGAAAATGTGTTTATAAGCTTATAGCTTCCTAAACAATCGAACTAAAATAAATTCTGTATAAACCAAGTGCATTCCGTACAAATACTACAGTATACATGTTCATCGATTTGAAATATTCACCTATTATGCAATATGTTTATTATTCAAGCCACGGTGGTATGTAACGAATTATCAGTTTAAAACTGAATGTTGCGTTTTTTTGTTATTTATTATTACAGGACGGACACTGCGGTGTTATTTCCAGCAAGCGTATATTCGGGCCACATGACACCGGTCAACCCTGGGCGCTGGCTTCTTTATTGTAAAAATCTCGATCATTTTGAAGGTAGTTAAAGCAACAACTGTTTTACATTTTCGTAGTTTCAAATCAGTTGTATTACTTAATTTAAATATTGTATTTGAAAACGCTACAATTAATCATTGAAATGAAACATTTTTTTTTATATTTTAGAAACTGTTGCTGCGAATACTTCTATGTACCTGCTATAATTTACAAACATAAACACTTTCACTGAGTAATTTTATCATGATAACTTAAATTAACAAGCTTTGTTTTGGTAAATCTTCATTACCCTTTTCCATTGCAAAAATGAAACATTGGCGGACATAAAGGCACTTAAAATACAAAAGTATGACAGCAGGTTTTCTAATAAGTTGGTCGTACTATCCATTTCTTTTTAATTTACAGGTGGAATGTCGAGTTTTTTAACAGTTCTGAAATGTCCACCAGCACCTGCCGGGCCTCTTGTTCCTCCAAAATTAATGTTTCCAACTCTAATACGTACATATTATCTCGCCATAGAGGAAGTTCTTTGGGACTATGCGCCTGGTTTTGACAGCAGACGTTCCAAGTAAGTCAGTTTTTCAATGTTACAGTTGCATCCATTTATTTTTATTTTATTTATTTTTTTTTTTTTGATACTTTTAACAAAATATAATAAAATGAACCGGTCAAGTGTAACATTGCCACAATAAACCCGTAAACACGTATGGGCGACTCACTCCAGAAGACGTAGTAATTATAGTTTGAGTAGCGACGGGGCGGGTTCGATCTCGGGATCCATGGATTTGTTGTGAGCAACAATATTTATTTCTTCTTCCATATTTTTAAATAAAACTACTCGTACAATACATAAATTACAACCGGAATTGTGTAATAAGCTTAAACCTTGCATGTCTCTCTCTCCTGGGGCAGTTTTAAGACCATTGAGTGCTGCTCCAGCCTCCATGACATGAGACATTTATGCTTGAACCAAACGGAAATTAAGTGCCCAACTTTGCCGATATTACAGACCTGAAACAGCGAATACTGAAATTAATGTATATTTAAGCAGACGGAGCAAACAGTTTGGGTTATTTCATGAATTAAAAAACCTCAGGCTTTATTGTACATTGTGTATAACATTTTCTTTACACATTGTGGCATGAACGAATATAAAATTATTTTTAAAATAACATATGTATTTTATCTTACTTCACTAGATCTGCTGCAAAGTTCCTTAATCGAGGTAGACAAAGGATTGGATCAGTCTATAAAAAAGCAATTTACATAGAATACATTGATGATACTTTTACATTGCGGAAGCCACGTGGCGACCACGAAATGCATCATGGGTTGGCCGGTCCACCAATCAAAGCGCAAGTCGGAGAGCGTGTTGTTGTTGTAGTTCTAAACAGAGCATCGAGACCGTATTCTTTCCTTGCAAATGGTATAGAAATAACGAAAGAACACGAAGGAGCGTACTACAAAAATCAACGGCATGGTAAATTAAAAGATAGAGCTATACAGTACTATTAAACTAACTTTTTTTCTTGTAAATTAATTTGTTCACGTTTAAGATATTTTTTCTGACAATATGAGTTCAACCTTCATAATTATTCTTGAAAGATTGCAACTGAGAATTCGAGCATACTTTTATTCACGTTTTTGTGTACTAGCATTGTAATATAATAATGCAATATTGTGAGTACATTTAATGACCATAAATTAATTGTGAAAACTCACTACAGAACTTTGGTTAATGCAACCATTATCATTAATTGCAAAGGTAAAATGGTGTTATGTCTTGTAGTACATTTGGAAACATTAAGTTTAATCATTAAAGGTTAACTTTAGATAATGACTTTATCTACCTTAGATGAGAAGATGACCGGCGCAATTGTCATGCCAGGAACAATAAGAACGTATGAATATAATGTAAATGAACACGTCGGGCCTACACCTTTAAATGAAGACTGCATCACATACGTGTATCATTCCGCAGTAGATGTTACTAAAGATGTGTACTCCGGTTTGTTCGGCCCTCTGTTGGTGTGTAAACGTGGGACGTTAAATTTCGATGGATGTCAGGTCAGTTTGATTAATTTATGTGATTTTCGTAATTATATGAGATTAAGATTTAGTGTGCGAGGTTAGATCGCCCTGCACACCTTTACAGTCTGATTGAACTTATAAATACTGTTGAAAGTTTAAATGTCATATTAATATTGTAATAATTTTAATCACTTTGGTCATTCCCGCCATCTTTACAACGTTTTATTGGCTGAATACGTACGTTGAAAGGATCTTTAAGCGTAAATTTCACAATATATGTAGACGTCATGCCAAATGAGGCTACTAGCTCTTGGCCCATCTAAAATCAAATGTAATTAATTGTACATATAGATAGCTTTTTGTTAGATTTTATGTCACACCAAGTTTGTAAATGTCATATGACGATCTTGTAACAGGCGAAGGATTACAAAAGGAACTTCTGTAACCATTGTCAAGCACAGTCTGACGCCTGAGTGGAATCAAGGACCTTCCTTAAGCAAGCTTGATAGCTTCCTCACAAGAAAGATTCAAAAGACCCTGTCGGGATTCGAACCCACATAGAAGGGCAAGAAAATTAATAGATTACTATTCTTGAGTTACAAATTCCAAGTCGGCGCTGAAAATAAATTTCTTAATAAATTTTGTAAAACGGTACTTTCAGTTGTTTGTGTCTTTTTGTTTTTGTGTAAGAAATATAAATATGTAATTCTAACACTATCGGATGTTTTTCTATATAAAGAAAGAAGGCCCGAAGCTTGCATTATTCTACAACAATGCACTCGCCGTTCTTATTACCTCCCTGTGTATTTTCACACAATCGCAACTACTCGGCCCTTTCCGTCAGTCTTCGGATAAGGACCTCGAACACAATAGTATGAATACACAGAACGGATGCGGTATTTCGGTCTAACCTACGCTAAGAAACTAAACATGTAAACAAATAGTAATTTAATGATTGGAGTTGTTGACAAGTTTATGTCCAATATATGTAGTAAAAGTCCACCTTAACTAAGTGAATTCATAGGTACAAAAGCAAACAATACATTATTTATATATTTATTATTATGGTTGTAGAAAACGAAAGTACAAAAAACCAACCTGTTGACATTTAGTCGGATTTGTTTAAAATTGAACATCAGTGGGCATATTTAAATAATAAATTGTTGTCAGACATATTCTCAAGCATAAGAGTACCGGAACAGACATTAGATTCAAATATATACATTTGTTTTACATTTTCTCTGTTTCTGTTTACATCTGAAACCACGTGGTAGAACTACTTTCAATCCATATTGTTTCCGAGGTTATTATTGATAATAGCCGAGGCAGTTCCGAATGATTTTCACATTGAGGTCGCCATTTTGTTTAAAAAATCTGATAAATTAAAACATTTTTTGTCGAATTTTGTTGTGAAAGCTATCTAAAATGAAAGAAAATAGTCCAACTAAGAAAATGAATCCGAACACCAATATCTTTAATTCAGTCGTTAACGCTGTACAGACGTTTAAAGTGTTGTTTACGTGACGTCACAATGTAGCGCCAAACAGCACGTGCAAAACAATCAAATCAAGTACGCTATTTTAATGACGCAAACGAGTTAAGTTTTACATTTATTTCATTTTTAAAAATGTGTATTTCGCTTGAAAAATAATAGAGTGAAATAAAATAAACAAACAAAGTTATACCAACGTTTTCTCAAAATGTTTCTACACACGGTAGATTTATCGACAGTTTTTTCAACCCACTGGAACAGCCTTTAAAGAACGTTTCTGGCGAAAACAAATTTTACCACCAAACATAGAGTCCAACTTTATAATAATAATTTATTTTTTCTTGACGTGTTAGAATGGAAATAGATATCAATTCTTCGTGCATAATTGTATAATAATGCACGTTTTTCGTTCAAATGCTTTGTTAATTAATCACTCAGGCCTATCGGCCTTTCGTGATTATAATTACTACGCATTTGAAACTCAAAACCGTGCATTATTCTACAACAATGCACTCAGGAATTGATATCTATTTTTCCTAAATATAAAGGGATATAACTAATACGTGACTGGGTTTACTCATTGCAGATTGTATGCAGACCCGGGAGTTCTTTGTTGGGAACTGGATGGTCATTTGATGAAAACTTGTCTTTGGGGTATATCGATGACAATTAATTTGCCACATTTAACATCGCAAAATGGCCGTGAGTAAAACGAACCCCAAATTTATAATGTCCAATCAAAAATTGAGGGTTTTGTGTTTTTTTGTTTTTCTTTGAAATTTTTTTTTCTTTTGGTTTTTTGGGGTTTTTTTTTTTTTTTTTTTTTTTTGTTTTTTACGGGAAAAATTTACCCTTAAACCCCCCCCGGGAAAAAGAATGGAATAGCTTGTTTTTCAACCCTTTTTAGTCAAAACCATTTTGCCATCCCCAAACCCCGTCTTTCTATTTTTTTTGGGGAAAATCATTTTTTTGCCAAATATTTTTAAATTAAAAATATACCTAATTTTTTTAAGGAAACAAAATGCACACCTTTTTCCCAAAAGGGGGGTATTATCCCGTTTAAACACTTTAAAAGTCCATTAACCGGGGTAAAAACGGACTATCTAAAGATCACATGTCTTGTTTGTTAGTAACAAATTCTCCCCCCCGGGGGTTAAGGGAAAAAATAGTTAAATCATTTAAAATGGTTTTAAAAAGAACCCAAATGAAATTTCAATATTTTACATTTTTTTTTTAAATAGGGAATTCCCAATGGAAGGGGGGTTTGGTTACGCCCTTTAAAAGGGTTAATTTATGAAATGAGGAACCGAGGCGGTAACCTGGGGATATGTAGGGAAATAGGTGACCCCCGGTTTGGGAAAACACCCCTTTATTTCCAAATTTTCGAGGGGAAACCCCTTTTAGATTTTTTATTTAAAGGGGAATCTAGGAACCCGGGGGTTTCCGGTTTTTTTCCCCGGTGTTTTTGGGCACCCACTTGTTACCATGGGACCGGGGCCCCCCAAAAGGTATCAATTTTATTTTTTGGTTTTTTACTTTTTTTTAGGAAAAATTTTTAAAATAGGGGCAAACCCAATTTTTATGGTAACCCTTTCATTTATTAACATTAAATCCCCCTAATTATAAAAATTTTTTCCCAAAAGAAAACCCCAATTTTTTGGGGCAACCCTTTTTTTAAATGTTTTTGTAAAACTTCCCCCGACAAAAGGGGTTTTCGTTTTGCTCTTTTATGCCAGAAATTTAATGTCAGATAACCTTCCCTAACGGTGGGGAAGCACCAAAATATCAGTGGATTTCCTTTAAAAATTTGTTTTTTGTTCAAATTTATCCCTATTTATTTTCAAAAATTTTCCCCGGGAATTTTTTTCGCTTTTAGTTGCCCTTTTACCGGGAAAAATTTATAACATTTTTTTCTCCCTTTTTTTTAAGGGAAAAATTTCCCCTAAAATTTTTAAAGATTTTAAAAACATAGCAAAGAAAATTTTTTTAAGGGATACTTTGGGGTTTGTCTTTCTAGTATTTGAAAATTTTTAAAAAGGTTTTTTTTTTTTTATTTTTCATTTTATTTTTTTAAAAACCCCCCCCTCCAGGATTAAAACAAAAAAAATTTCAAAAAAAAATTTCCAAAAAATTGAGAAAAAAAAAGTTTTTAAAGAAATTTTTAAAAAAATAGAAATTTTTTAAAAAATTTAGGAATTTAATTTTTTTACCCTGGGCATATTTTCGAATAATTGGGCTTTATTTTGAAAATATTTATAAATTTTGTATTTTTTGTGGTTTACTGGGCACAGTAACGGCTATTTTTTGCATACTTTTTAAACTCTGAAAAAAACGTGGGATTGTTAAAATTTCCCCTTTTGCCCTTTTGGAAAAAATTCCAAAATTTTAAAAAACCCCTTTCCCAAAATTTTTTATTTTTAAAATTTTAAACTTTTAATCTTTTGAGGCATGCTGCTTGAAGTCGGGGTTTCTATAAAAATCGATTTAAAATTTTAAGGGTTGGTTTACACCCAAATTTTTTTTTCATCCCGTTTTCCCTTGGAAAGGGTTTTTAAAATGTTAATAATAGTTTGGGCTTTATAAAATTTTCCCTTTTTTTTGCCAAAAGGTTTGGTCTGTTTTTACGTTTAATGGGACCCCGTCGGTTTAGAATCCCCGGAAAGGGATGATTTCATTAACCCCTCTTTTAAAACCGTGCACAGCCGGATGGCCCCCGGGGTATTTTCCCACCGAAAAAACCCGCCCCAAATAGCTGGAATTTGGTTAGGCGGTATTTCATTTTGGTTGGGGTTTTTAGCTTTTTTGGGACTTTTTGCCAATGAAAAAATTACCCGATTTTATGGATTTGAAATCTTCTTTTGGTTTTCCCAAAAGTATGGTAAAAATTTTTTCTGAACAAAAATTTTTTTATTTCTATATTATTTTAAATTCTTTTATTTATTTTTCATTATTAAATGTCATTTTAATAAAAAAATATAAATTTTTCGTTTTGGAAAAGCCAATTAAGTGCCAAATTTTTCCCCGAAAATTTTTAAAAAAAAGGGCCTTTTAAAAATTTTTTTTCAATTTTGTTTTCCCTAGAAAAAAGGGGCCTTTAAAATTTTTAAACCCTGTTTAATTGAATTTTTCATTACCCCCTTCAATTTTTGGAAAATTTGTTTCTACCCTTTAATTAAAAAACTTTTCTTTTTACATCTAGAAAGCTGTTTTATTATGGGCTACCCCCTTAAAATTTAATGGCTGTTTTTTAACCCTTTTTAAAAAATGAATTTTAAAAAATTTTTTAAAAATGCTTATTTTAAAACCAAAACCCTTCCCCGTGTATTTTTTTTATTTTTTCCCTATTTTAAGCAAAGGATCAAATTTTTTGTGCGGAAAAGACCGCCATTTTTGGGTCTATTTACCCGAAAAGCCATGTAAAGTCGAGTTTACGATTCCCCACTTTTTCCCCCCATTAAGCAAAAGAAATCCCCAGGGAAAAAAAATTTTGGCTTTTTGGGTCCCTTTATACGTGGGAATGCCCGGGGGGTTTCCATTTGAAAAATTTTTTTTACAGAATTTGGGATTCTTCCCGTATAACCTTGTTTCCCAAAAAATTTTTGATA